TTTTTTATATGATCATTCCATAATATTTTACTCTATTTATTTTTCATAATCTTATTTAATAAGTTTTAAAACGTATAACAAGCAAAAAGCACCTATCTATATTAAGAATTTTTAATTGAAGGATTATAAAAATTATTGAAGATTTCTTTTTGATTTATTATTAAGTATTTTTTCTTTTATTTTTTGCACTTTTATAATTTGTAACAAATATTTTTAATTTATCAGCCTTTAGTTATTAGTTAATAGCTTATTTAACCTAGAAAAATATGATCCGTACTCTGCGCTTTTATGTAAATATAAGAAATGCATACCATGATTACTATGAGTTTAATAAATAATTTGAATTAAATATTTGATTAATAATAATTTAAATAAGTAGGAAATGTACGGTATTAATACTTATTGTATCGAAAACTAAAATTTTAAACTTAGAGATTAAATTGATATACTAAACTAATTGAAATTTCGTCACCTCGAAAAAAACTGCAGCTAAGTAGTCATTCCTATTTTTCTTCCATAGACGTTTTGATGCCAAGAAAAATCATAAAACTACTTTTGCCATTTTGTATGATACGACAGTACCAATTCGGAGCGGCGAATTGTCAGTTAGTTTAGTAAACGCAACGCAAACCTAATGAACACACTGTGCGGTATTCAAAATTACCGCATTACTCTAATTACTCTAATAACTCATTTAAATTTTTGAATTTTCTAATTTCAATTGTACAGTTTTTGTATTTTTTCTAAGCACCTATAAATAAAAATACCGAATTTTTTCCAAATAAATTTTATTAAATATTAGTTTTATATTTATGTATGTATGTAAATCAATTATAAATTTAGTTTGAGATTTAAAATAATCAATAAAATAAGTAAATCTTTATGAATATTAAACCGATAAGTAATTGAGTTATACTCGTAACTTGAAAAAACCGGTTGACGCTAAGTACTTCATTTTGAGAAAGACAAAGGCTTAAAATCTTTTATTGTAACTAAGCCTGTAGAAGTATAGATTTTTTTTAATTTACATTAGAGTAGCAGCATTTAAAATTTTGTTTTAAAATGATTGTTTTATTTCATAAGAAGATTTTAAATGTTTGTATTACTAATTATTCTGATGATTGACAATTTCTTAAATGAGGCGCAAATGATGCCAGTCTGCATCTTAAAAAGAGTCTAAAGAATTTGATCAATATCTGTAAAGAATAAAACGTATCATTTCAACTTATCCTAATTTTTGAGATCATCACGCTAATAAGTTAGCAACTTTCCAAAACTTGAATGAAATTTTGTTAGTTTGGATTGACTATAAATTTGAAAGAGCGTCTCCTTCAACTAATGAAGAGAAATATGAATTATAATAGTATGCATCAACTGGAACTTAATCGCCAAATAAGTAGAAATCAAAAAAAGAAAGAAGTCATAATTCAGAATGAATTTTTGTGTATGCAACAGCTCCTCTACAATAGTTTGCTGTTGTTTCTTCAAGCATTTCTCTACATTTGAATGTCAAAATAATTACAATGGGCTATTGTTTGTTTACTATTGTTGGTTAACTATAACCGTTGTTTTTTGGTTGTGAGACCATCAATTTTGAAATGAAAAAATCGAGATTCAGTGAAAGGTTTTTATTTTCAGTTTTACCGAAATAAATACAATCTTATTTTACGTCATTTAATTTAAAATTAAACAGAAATAATGTAAGTAAAAATAATAATAAACCGAGAAAAATACCAGCTATGTGTGTGTGTAATTATATTCATTATAATTGTATAAAAATTATTTGTGTATAAGTATAGCTATTTATTCATGTTCCATATACATACACATTAACGTGCAAGAGCCTTATGCTGTTAAGAATGTTAAAATTTATCCTAAAATTCTTTTATGCAAATTTTATTTTTACTGTAAATGGATTATCGACTTACTGTTAAAATATTTTATAAAGCGATACTTAAACACATTTATTATTTTACCTTGAGAATAAACAAGAAAACCAGTTAAAAATTTAAAGGTCTTGAACAGAAAAAAAAATAATGTGTTTAGTTTAGACTACATTGAAAAGTTGTAACACAGACAATATTTTTCTAAATTAAAAAAATAGACAAGAATTCAAGAGAAAATGCGTTCAAAGTACATTCTTGACAAGGCATCGAATCAATATGTATATCAGAGTTCAGTATAGGGATCTATGTGACTTTTGATGTAGATAATAAAACCACAATACATTGGTCCATAAAGATAACTACTAATAATTAATCTGTTGGAACACGTCGACCCTGAAAAGCCACTCAAATTTATGAAGTTTGCAGTCTCAAAATATTCTAGTTGAAATAGTGCACATTCAAGAAGGAATCGGAGGTGCAATAGATCGTTTGACTCACGGTGCATAATCATCGCAGCCAGATATTATTTTTAAACTATGAACTAAGAATAATAGACTTCCACCCGGACTTACTAAAGGTCTGGGGAAATTTCTTTAGAAAATAAATCATTTTAATGCTTCCATCAACTAGAATACTTCGCTTTTCCTAACAATAAAATGTGAGGGAAAGCGAAATCTTTTAAAATTAAAGAGAAAATTTTCTTTCTATAAGTACGGATGTATTAAAGAGAGAGCAATTATTATTTCTGTATTTAGTGAAATCTAAAACGTTCTCAAACTGTTAAAATACAAAGTCATTATCCTTAAATCTCCTGTATCTCTTAGAAATAGATTTGTCGTGAGGTACTTTTAAGATTATTAAATTCCAATTTTTTTTTCATGTTTCCATTCCACAACCGTTGTCTATTCGAAAGTTTTTTTATATACATATATATGCAACGACCACTGATATAGTTGCATGAATATCCAGTTATTTTTTAGAAAAAATACTTGAAAACTTTTTGGAAATATCTTCTTTTGTTACAATATAAGGCGAGAAATTCTTGTTTGAACAACAACATACGTATATGCACATGTAAATACAAAAATTTTAAGAACTTTATAATATAAATGTAAGATTATTGGATGACAACTAAGGATATAAGAATGCTTTTTTTTTCTTGCTTTTGTTATACAAAGGCTGATACGTTTTCTGAAGATTAAAGTTTTTTTTTTCGGCAAGAATGTGTAAAGAACGTTTTGTACTCTTTCTCAAGTTTCAGAATTTTAATAATATTTTGCTATGTCATTTATTTTTAATTTAAATAAATTTAACTTTTGTCATTAATTATTTAAAATACTTTACGCGTAATGAAATTTGAATAAGGAAGTTTGCAAATACTATTTTATACATAAATCTGATAAACACTTTAGTTAGATTAGAAGCAAATCTGTGTTTGACTTTCTTGTCTTCTTTCTTAAGATTCCTTTAAAAACAATATTTTTTGTATGTTTATGAGAAAGTATTAAGTACAATAATTTGACAACTCATAGTAACACTACTCAACCGTATGCGAGTTCTATACGCATACAATGAAATTAAAAAATTGAACTTCAACTAAAGATTCACTCTGTGTTGCCAGTGTTCTTTTTATCAATGCAATTTTTGATAAATATTTAAAAATAAAATAAATTTTAAAGTTTATTTTTATTTAATTTAAATTTTACTTTTATTTATTTGTAGCATTTGTAAACAAAAACAAGAAGGAGAAAGTAAATCTCTTTTTGACATTTTAAATTAAATTTGTGTAATTGATAAGAAAAAGAGTACCAAATATACATTATACCGCACATATTTCTTAACAAGTTATTTTTGAATCTTCTTTATTATTTTTTATAAAATTTTCAATATTAAACAGAACAAAAATTTCAATTTAATTTAATCTTACCGATAAGGTTTATTAAAATTTGATAAAGAGATTTTGACTTCCTATGTAATTTTTTGTTTTTGTTTTGGATGCGACGATGTTATGCTTACGCCAATGTATACTCTTAGTGCTATGATTCAGTAGACAAATTAAATATAATAACAGATAATTCGGGTTTTGAAAAAAAAAAACTACATAAGTACGTAGATTATGGTTTGGTCGTTAAATTGTTAAAAGTTTTCTTTGGTAAATTTTGATAATAGCAAATTTTTTTTTTGTCAATTTTTGTACGGATATTTTCTAGGTTATCAAAAGACATTGAACTCCTCAAAATTTGATTTCAGTTGTATTCCTTAGAAAATTTTAAGATTTTACAATATTTTTTTTTTTGTTAATGACTTACATTACGACCGGAAGCAGCATAATGGCATTGGTTTTTATTTATTAGCGAATGATACTTTGGAGTAATTGATACTTTTTTGGCGTTCTTCTAAAAAATTTGTTATCGCTCGGATTGATCCTGATTTTGTTTGTAGAAAAGTAAATATTTTTTTTAAATACTGCAGAATTGAATTTCAAAATTTTGTTTCATAATTTTCTGATTTCTGTACAATTTGTACATTGACTGTATATTAATGTACAGTATTACTGCAATTTTCAAGTCAGAAATTCTGTGCAGTTTAGTTTAAAGCTGGAAAATATTCGAATTTTATTAGACAAAGAAATGGAATTAATTCTGCTGCTTTCAACATATTTACCTAAATTCTTAGGTCTTATTAAATAAAACCGTAATTATTGAATCTGTTTGTTGTGCACAATGAAACAACAAAAACCATTTCTGAAATGAACATATTTTATTTTTAGCATTTTTTAAATTTGTGTTTGCAGCAGTTTCAAGTTTCTGTTTTGAAAAATTTTTATTTTTTTTCATGTTAGCAAAATTCATACGCAGTTACCTGGATTTCCTCTTCTGTAATATGATAGTATTGAAGATCAAGTTGTTTTCTTACTGAAAAAACTTAAAATATTCAAATAAAACAAAGAATTACAAGAATCCACAACATTGTATATTTTTCTCAAAAAATTTCAAATATTCGTAGAAATAGCGAATTTTTGTTGCGAATTAGCACAATGTTCCCAAACTTTAAGAAAATTTACTGTAAAAAAAGTAATTAATTTTAATTTTATTTTCTCATTTCATGTTATAGTGAGAGTAGTATGTTCGTGTCGAAGCATCGTTGGATATTAAAGACATGTGGTACAACTACACTTTTGCAATGTTTAGAACCACTGCTAGAATTGGCTTATGGTATTGCTGGTTTTACAGAAATTAAAGATTTCTTCTATTCACGCAAGAATTTTAAAAGACCAGAATTACAGGTAAATTTTTTTTTTCGTTCCACAAAATTCCTATATTATATTTTTTTTATTATTTTTAGATATCGCCACATGGAAGTTTTAGCGAAGAAGTATCACTACTTGATTCAATTTTCAAAGACGGCAGAGCCTACTGTTTTGGATCTGTAAATCGTGATTGCTGGTATTTATATACATTAGATCATGATATTAATGAAGGAACAAAATTATGCCATTTAATTAATGGTCTTTTGGGCAATAATAACATGATGAATGGATTAACTGTTTTTAATAGTTTCAATAATGATGATAATGTAGATAATAAAGAATGTAATATTCGTAATAATGGCATTAATAATGATGGAAATCATAACAAAGAAAATGATAATAACATGATTTTAAGAACTGATCATGATGGAAATATTTTAAATGGTTCTGGTATTGATAAAAATGGTTTAAAACATCAATGTACGATTGAAAATATAAATAATAAGATGAAGAAATCATTTGAACCAGATCAAACAATTGAAATATTAATGACAGAATTGGATCCAAAAATTATGTCAATATTTACAAAAGAGACATGTTCAAATGCTTTAGAAGCTACAGTAGTAAATATGAAAGAAAAAGAATTGAAAAAGAAAAATTATTGAATTTATATTTTTACTTTTTAGAAATCCGGTATTAATAAGTTGATCCCGGGAATGAATATCGATGATTATTTGTTTGAACCATGCGGTTATTCTATGAACGGGATTTCAAAAAATGTAAGCAAAATATTTTTTGATCAAAGTTTATAAAGTTTTACAATTGACTTATATTGATAATCTACTTACTATTTTAAAAAATTCTCTTCTTTTTTATTTTAATTAACATTCCACTATTTTTTTTAAATTAAAAATTAAAAAAAAACAATAAAAATTAATAAGGTTTCTGCCGATTACTCTCAAGTAAGTTTAAGAAAAATTGAATTGAATAAAAAACTTTTTCCATTCTTATTATTTTTATTTTGTTCCTTGCATGTTAAACGAAGTTTTTCTTTAAGTTTCAATATTACCATAATTATAATATCATTGAAATTTTGTGATTAATGTAAAGAAAAGATTAAAAATTTAGTAAGAACTCGAGTTAAACGTACGTCAGATTAATTGCAATTATTCTTATTTTCAAATTTTTATACAACTGTGCTGTTTTGAAATTAGATTAGATATTTTAAATTATTTTTAAAACCTAATTAGTAAGTTTATATGCCACAAATTAATTTCGCAAATTGAATATTATATTATTTAAACAAAATAAAAATTTCGAATTAAATTAAAAAAAATTGAATGAAAACTAAAATACTTATCGGTTCAGGCTTCTTTTAACAAATAGTTTTATTTCTCTATTTCACGATTAAAAAATTTTCAAACTACTGAGAAATCGTCTCAGGTTTCTTGAAAATGATTACTTTTTTAATTAAATTATAAAAATATTAGTTCCAAAATTTTGATGACATCGTATTTATCATTTTTTTCTAGTCATTATCCATCCCATCTTCTTATTGTTCACATGCTAATGCCTTTAATGCGCATATATTTTTGAAATATCTATCTAGAAAAGTAGAAAAAAACCACACACATAAATCAAGTCTAAAACGCAATTTATTTTAATTCCAGTCTATTATTCATTTTCATAAAGAGCCCTAAAAACAAAAAAAGAAGATATAAAAATAAGAGAAAATGATAATAAAAAATTATTATCATTACTTTTAAAGAACTTTATCCTTGCTCTCAGCTACGAAACCTGCTAATGTATAAGAAAAAAGAAAGAGGAAAAATCAATAAATAAATTATTCGAATTTCAAAACTGAAAAATATTTTTGTATTGAAAATTTCAGTTAATTCGAAATGTATGTATGTATGTAAAATGAAAGTTGAGAAATAATTTTTTTAATAGTTTTTCTAAACGTAGAGGCCCCAATTAACTTAGAGCACCAAAGAATATTCTTTTTCATTTCAATTTTCTCTTCTTCATTTATTTTTTTTTTACAAATTCTATTGTGTAATTTTAATTAAAAACTCAAGTAAAAAAAAGGTAAATTTATTTTTAATAAATTTTTGCATTAAAAATAAAAATCCTTATTACTTTACTAACCCAAATCCTACCATACTACAAATTATTATTGAAGTGGTGAAATAAAATTTTCACTTATTAAAATTGCGTTCATTATATTTTATTACAGTACTATATTACAGTCTGTAATAAAAATATAAATGCATGACGTATTCAAATTTTATTTATTATTTTACTACTTTTATTATTTTAAAATAAAATAAACCTAGTACATGTATGTATGTATGTACATAACAATTTGTCTAAAATTTAAATAAAATTTTTTTTAAAAAAAGATTTCGTTTTAGTCCCGCGGTCCGGAAAAGGAAATTTTAGGTATTTGTGAACAGTGAGAGAAATTATTAAAGGTACTCATTGGTATTCACATTTTCCCAATATTTTTAAAGTATTCAATAGTGATATGAGTGTAATAAAAATAGTATGAGTACAATACAGAACAGAAAATAATCTAAATCATAATTCACGCTAGCTTTTAAGAATTTTATATAAAAATATTTTTTCCAGCAATATAAGCAAATTTTAATATCAATAAAATTTATACACTCAAATTTTCAAAGACTTACAGAATATTACTCAAAAGAATTAAAGATTTCAGTATAGCATCTCAGTTTCAAAACTTTGATTTTAATTTAGAAGTGATGACATGCTCTTCAGAGAATATGGAAGATGATCTCAATAATGATTTTATAATATTAGAACATCCTGTATCAAAACATCATAACGCGGCATCTCAGAAATATTTATATTAATTTCAATTTCTCTATTCATTCTTCGGCTTTTTTTCCTAAATTGCTTTATTCTTTTATTAATTTGTGTTTTCTTAATATACTTTGTTTATCTGTGTCTTATGCCAGAATATTTATATATTATTAAAGATGTTATGTGATAAAAGCAGATATTATTGATTTCCCAAGGATATTATATAAGAAACACGAGTGCGTGTGTGTGTTTATATAACGTTTATATAATAGAAATAAGGACTAACGTATTAGTTTTTTTAACTGTTTGTAATGAAATGAAAAGAAGAAAGAAGTCTGAGTGCGGTATCGAATATATGTCTATAATGATGTAGAGAAATATGTAAATAGATGTGTGCAAAAATAAAAATAAGAGCCCTAAAAAAAAAGAAATTAACCCAAAAGGATAACAAAAAAAGGAATTATTTTTTTTTTTTTTGCTTTTTTCCTTCGGAAAATTTTTTAAAAGGCGGTAATTTAATATATTCTTTATATAAAATTAAATATGTACATATATATAATGTATATATATAAATGCAGAAGTTATCAAAATTATGTACACAATTCGTAGAACAAAGAATAATAAAGAAAAACAAAGAAAAATAGAAATGAAAAGAAAAATCAATCTAAAAAAGGATGTTTAGATGACCTTGAGGAAAATTTTATGTACATTCATACTACATAATTTATATATATATATATAAGCAATTTACAAATTTTTTTATGCATTAATCTTTAGCATTAAAATAAAACATTTTATGTACAAACAAACAAGAAAAACAAAATCTCTTTTGATAAAAAAAACTTTACGGTTTGCTGAAAATAAATTACTTTTTCTTTTTTTTTCTAAATAAACTTTTAATAATCACATTTAAAAAGGAAAATATTCTTGTTCCAAATTAATTTTATAAAGTTAAAATAACTAAAGTATTAATTTTTATTAATAAACCTACTGATTTTGTATATATTGGTCCGCCCTGACTGTAATAGCAAGAGTGAGTAAAAGTAATACTTTATAAATTTAGCAACAAGGTACCCAGAACTGCCCAATTTGAATGAGAAAAAAAAGGAAAAAATTATGTAAAATATTTGAAATTCTTTAAACTTGAACAAATAATCCCTTAAAAATTTATTTTAAAAACTAATTTGAAAGTTTTTGAGTTAATGTGTTTTTCTGGTTCTAGTATCATTTTATAATTTATTACAAGCGACCATTTACAAGAAAGAGAATTTTGCACAAAAAAGAAATGTTTTAAGTTTCTGGGTATAAATAACTCAGATATCGTATTTTTTGAGTTATGCCACTGTTGCAACAAATGAGCGATAACAAAACTATTTTCTAATTTAAGCAAAACTTGAAATTCTCAAAATAAAACTAAGTCCACAAATTCAATATTAGATAGTCTCTTCCAAACTTTTCTTAAAATCATTTCTAATTCCTTTCTTTATCACTTCGTACTTTTTCTTTTTTTTATTTTCTTTTTAATAAGATCGATAATGGAATACGTGATCCAAAGTCCCAGATTGTAAGATTTGTACAATGAATTAGGGTTAAGAAATTAGAAAATTGTACGTACCTACTACTATTTTTGTTAATTAAATTTTTCTATACATTTTTTTGTCTCTTAATAGCCCTTAAAGGTACCACACGTATAATTATAATAATGTTGTTACGCATTTTCTATTCTGGTTTTCTTTTCATAACATTTTACGTACGTAGTTATCTGTATGTACTCGTGATGGAACTCTACTTGCACATAAAAGCTAAACAGATCCAAGTATATATTCGTATAATGCTTCTATATAAGAACATTAGATTATTTCGGTATATTATTATACTATAATTAGATTATATAAGTATGATGTTGGATATAGAAAATTTTTTTTTATATATTTTATTTAATATTTAAAAACATAAAGAACTGAAAAAACTAAAAGAAAGAAACATATTTTCATTTTCATTTTTTTTCGTTATATTTTTTTCTTGTATAAGTTACATAATGATTTTAATAAGATGTGGAAACGTGTTATTCTGTTTCTACTTATTTTAGCATTTTTAACTACAATTTAATATTCTTGCAAAGTGAACCCTTTAGCTTATGGGCAAAAAGAAAATTAAATTCAGAGAATTATATTGACAGAATTAAAAACTTTCCTCTTAAGTATGAAAATCTTCCTAGTTCTGTTTATTTTAGCAATTCTATATTTTAAACTTTTTTTAAATTAGTTTGAAATTCGGTTTTCAAATTGAACTGCTCACAATATTTCTTACTATTTGAATTACAATTTGCTTACGATTTGAACTTCTAGTTTTCAATATTTTAAATTGCTTACTTAAAAGAATTTCATTTTTCTGCCATTTAACTGCGCATTAAGTGAAAAATTTCTAACGTTATAATTGGCGGATCAAAGTAAAAAATTTTTTGAAAGCAATTTCGGCTCTTTTTCGTTTGGAAACTAAACTAATTTTATTATTAGCAGTTTATAATCTGCTAATCTTTGATCTGATATGTAATTTATGTTTGGTTTTTTTCTTTTGCAAATCCTGTTAACGGTATTGAACAAAAATTTTACTCTCATTAGAAACCTATTTCTCTATTTATAAAATATTTTTATTTAGAGCCAATTAACAAATTTTTTATCCACATTCCTTGTCATTAACGAACATAGAATGAGAGAATTTTATTAATATAATTATAAAATTGTATTAATAAAATAAATAAAATTATAATTATTATAATTTTTCATTATTCTTCAAAAAACTTCAAAATAAAATTTACGTTACGATAACAATAATATAGTGTACATATTACAGACAGAGGGCGTTCAATTTCTCATATTATTTCGATTACCCTCCCTCTTTACATTATTACATTAATGAATCAATTAAAAAAATAATAAGTCTACAAAATATTTATATATGTATGTTATTATTAATTTATGAATATTTTTTGCTTCTCTATCATTTAAGGGCTATTATATGACAATTCACGTTACACCTGAAGAAGAATTTTCTTATGTAAGCTTTGAGAGTAACATTGCAACATCTAATTACAATGATTTAATTAATCGTGTCATTAAAACATTTCAACCTGGAAAGTTTATTGTTACAATCTTTGCCAACCGGGTAAGTCAAAAAAAAAAAACTTAGAAAAACGAACAAATTTCAAACTTTATTATGTTTAATTTTTAGACATCAACATCTTCGAGCAAAGCATTTTGTGATTTGGACAATGCAAATCGTTTGGGTGATTCATGGCAACGTCAAGATATACAATATTGCCGTTTCAAAACTTACGATTTGACTTATGCTCATTATTGTAAATTCCCAAGCTGAGGGTTACAGGCAATACCTTGTGTTTTAAAAACCGAGGTACAAAATAAAATCAATATAACTGATTATAACATATATAAAAATATAAATAACCCAAATATTAAAAATAAATTTATAAATAATAAAAATAATAAATATATTGATGAAATAGCACATAAAGAACAACAACAGCAACTCTCTAATGAAAATGAAAATTCTCTACAAAAATTCAATAGAAAAAATAATTTTTTAAATAATAATGATGAAACAGTAAACCCTACAAATATAATTACAACATTAACTAATCCATCAGATATTAGAAATAGAACAAATGCAGTAGAATCAAAGCAGAATACAAATTTTAAAAATTCAACAAATTCAATTAGATTTAATACAAATACTAACAATATTTTAAGAAATAATACTAACATTTTAAATTATAACTCAAACTCTAATTTTATTTGTAGCAACATAAAGAATAATAATGAAAACAGTTATTGTAATAATGATAATAATAATAATAATAAATATGAAGATAATGATGATGGCAATGATTATGAAGATGAAGATGAAATTGAAGAAAAATTTTGTATAAGTAAAATTGAAAATTTTATGAAAAGCACAAAAATTTTAAATTCTACTATTTTAACTACAACAATGTTACAATTAAAAGAAGATCAGCCATCATCATATATTAATCGTTTTAATAATAATAATAATAATAATAATAATAATAATAATAATAATAATAATAATAATAATAATAATAAAAGCTTTAATAATAATAATAATAATATTATTGATTCTAATAATGATAAATTTAATTTTATTGATTTTTCTTTAACATTTGGTTTCTTTTTAATGCAAATTATATCATGGTTCTTTATATTTGATTTAGAAGAATATTCTCCATTGGTTTTATTTTCATGGTGGCGTAATAAAATCTCTTGAAATATTGTATATAAATCAATAATAAATCATAATTATGAAATAATTAAAAATTTATTAATAATTATTTAATGTATAATATATTTAATAATGTATTGCATTAAATTGAAAATTATTAAAATTTATTTAATGAAATTTCTTAAATATGAAATATTTTTAAGAAAAATTCAAAGAATTCTTTTATGACGTCGTTACAAGAATATAAAATTTATTATAAAAACATAAAAATTAAAAAAAAAACAAGAAAAAACAATTATTAGCATTTTTTGTAGTTTTTATTGAAGTTTTATGTAATAAAAAGCCATTTTTTTATTTTAAATAAAGTTCATTCAAAACACATACCATATTTATAAATAAAATTAAATAAATGAAAACAAATTTTTAATAAATATCAAAATAGTCAAAACTTTACAATAGTTAATCACAAATAAATTTTATATAAACAGTAAAATATATAAAACAGGTGTAATTAGAGGGCAAGGAAAAATGTTAAAAACGCGAATGCGTGAATGATTTCTATTTAATTTTTAATTTTTTAATGGAAAAAAGAAGATAAAAATAAAATTGTAATTATTTTGAAAGAATGTAAAATTTTTACTTTCTGAATTTAATTTTAAACTAAAAACAAAAATATTATTGATTTAATTATTTTTTTGTGAAATTTTGTTTTATTTTTATTACATTTTTTTATTTTTATTTTGTTATTTTTTTAGTTTTAAATTGTTTATATGTATTGTTTTAATATTATTTTTTTTTTTCATAAAAAATTATATACATGTAAACATTTTCACTTGGTTTTATTTCAGTTAATTTGTATTATTTAGGAAATTTTCGAATAAAACCATTGAGTTTTAAATTGTGATCCCAATTAGCTTATACATACCTTACAATTCAAAATTTTTTCAAACATTTCGGGGGTTTTGGGACTTAAATTATTTCATCTTTTCGTTATTTCTTCTCAAAAGTAATTACATATTTTTATTTTGTTAATTTTATTTATTAATTTTTACAAAAAGGCATACCTAAAATTTGTAATTTTTATTAATTTTTAATCATAATTATTAAAATAAATCATAATTATTAAAATAAAATAGAATTTTATAATTATCAAAAATTTAATGTTTTGCAGCCTAATCGCTTATCTCGCTTTAGATAAAATACTTACTCAAAGATAGTTTTGATCTACGAAATATCATTATTCCTACATTTTACATGATATTTAAGATTCAAAAAGATTTATGAAGATAATAAGAACATTTATTAATTTTTTACAATGTCTATAAATTTCAAAATTTCCTTTTCTCTCAAACGTCTTCACGAAATAAATGAAAATTGCAGATTACTATAGCATATCCAATTACATATATCTTATTTTACAACTTTTGCAAGATATTTCAAAAAGTAAGGAGATAAGCATTAATTATAGTGATTTATTTATGAAATATCATTTTTACATTAACGTATTATAGTAGAACCTTTAATTTTGAATTTAAAAAAACTTGTTGAGGGTCGCAAAGTAACACAATACAAAGTACTTGTATAGGTACAGAATTTTCCAAAATTTCATTCTATGTTATTTTATTCTCAATTTAATATTACTGCCAAGCCAATTAATTTTTAAAGCAAAAAATCATTTTCAAATATTCGAATTTCATTGGTAGGTACAAAATATCTCATATTGCATTAAATTACATTTGGTAATAAAATATTTTGACAAAATTTAGTTTTACACTTACAAATATATTATTTATTGTTTTTATTATGATAATCAATAATTTTATATATCATTTATTTTCTTAAACATAGATTTATTTCATTTTTATAAAATATTCAACATAAAGTGTGGGAAGCTCCATAATATTAATAAATATATAAAAATCAAATACACAATATTACAAAAATATATTATTCACTAAAATACTGCCGATCGACCCACCATGAAAAAGAAATATATCTAAATTAATAAAACGGAAATCCAATATGTATGAAATATCTATGTAATTACAAAATTTATAAATATTATGCTAACAAAAACAAAGTATATATAATAATATCCTACTTTAATTTTAACATTGTTTTATTACTTGAATTAAGTAGAAGTAATTCTGGTTTGCCAGAAGTAATAATAGGTACCCGTGACAATTGAACAATTACAACTTACAAGCTAAATTGTATTTTAGAATCATATTACTGCAAATTTGAAATCTTGAATTTTAAAATATTTTAAAATGATATAACAGAGACTTTAACATAATTCAAGTACTTAATGTGTGAATCAATCAGTATGCAAATCAATACATATTTTAAGTAACATGCAGTTGAAAAATGAAATATTTTAATATTTTTAAAATTTTAAATAAATAAATCAAACTAAAACTACATAAAAAAATTACATACAAAAAATAATAATAGCTAACGTGTAATTAAAATATTTAACATAAAACTCTATATCTCTACAAAAAACAAGTACATTTTAGACATACATAATGCAGAATCTCAATTCAGATAGTATATGTAAGCTGAACTCAAAAATGCAGATCTAAAGTAAATTTGCTCCAATAATTCTTTCGGTTTCAAAAACAAAAAAAATAATTTGGATGGTATTTTATATAAATATAGTAAATTTTTCTGTTTCTTTAAAACACTGAAGAAAAAATCATTTTGACATATGTACATACATACATATGTATTTAAGAGCCAAAAATATTTGATAGAGCCGTGAAAAAAAACACGCCAAACGAAATTTTCAATTTGTATGCTTTTTGAATTAAAAAGTACACAAATTATTTAAAATGTTTATGTTAAATCTGTATTTTGGTAGACACCTTTTATCATAATACATACATACCTTAAATATAGACCTGCATTTTGAAACTTATAAACATGTTATACATACATACATATACATGTGTTTCTATTCAGCTTAATTGAAATACTAAAACAAATGGAAGTTTTTTTTAAAATCTAATTAACTAATAAACAATAATCATAAAAATTTTTAATTTATAAAATCTGAATGAACTGTAGTAATGTAAAAATACGGCTTTAAAGAATGTTAATGCCGTTTGCCAAGTTTCTAGCAAAAAATAAAAAAAACGTTAGAAGCAAGAAGTTGTGAACCTTTTAAGGGTTTAAATTAAAATTAAAACAAAAATAATCTACTAATTTTAATTATAAAATTATACGTGTATAAGTATATTAACATTCATTATATAAATATGTAGTATATGCTTATAAGTACATGCTATGCACTTATAAGCAGTTGTTCTATTTTGAATATTTTCTCACTTTAAGACACTTTAAAAAAAATTATCTATACATAATTTAAGGGCATTTCGTATATATGTACATATGTACATATTAAAATAAAAAAATTTTGGAAAATTTAATTGAAATATACGTCATAAATACTTATTCAAAAATGAAAAAAAAAAATAATTAGTATAACTAAGGATGTACCATTGTAGCAAATTTTTAAAACATGATATTATGGTAGTTACTAGTATTTTCCTCATCAAATCAATTTTAATGACCGAAATTTAAATATGTACATATGTATGTATTTATTTTGTAACATAATCCTTGAAATACCATCTGCACACGAAGTGCCTACCAAATTCAATTTGACTAACGTTAATTTTGGCCTATTAAGTAATTGAAATTGACTTGCTTAACAAACTAAATAGATTTTAGATCTGCGTTTTGGTAGATCATACACATACTCGTACATACATATACCTGCATACATAATATGTTCATGAGGCTACCAATATCGCTGTTGAAAATTCCGAAAGACGTTTGAATAAAACGAAATTCAAATTATCTACATATGTACATATGTATGGCAAAATTTAATTTTTAAATATATGTATATTTTAAACAAAGAATTAGTGTTTGCCACAACTTGGGCAAGTCTCTCTATAGCATCAAGAAGACTCACTCAGCAACACAATTTTCAATGCTTAGTACGTTTAATCGATGTTAACATGTTTGATTGAGTATCATGTTTTATAAAATTTCTACAAAAATACTTTTTAACAACATTATAATAAAAAGAAAAATGTTATTGAATATTTTTAAACTTATGTCTATTAAAATTGTAATTGAAAAGAATGAACCAAAAATTTATAAGCTTAAAGATTTTGAAACGAAAAGGCTGTTTTGCACGGGTTTGACCTAAATTAAAAGCAGTGAATATACATACATACATATATTTAAACACATTACAAGTATTGGATAATGCAAAGCTGAAAAGAAAAAAATTAATAAATTCTATATAAAATTATGTTAAATTTCAGTATTTTTCGGAAATTAAAGAATTAATTATCAGAAGATACCTACTTAAAAATAAAGAAATTTAAATTAGATCCAATGACACTTTATTGTTTTATTTTTCTTTTCACGAACCAGGTTGTACATTTTAATATATGTAAACTTTGAAGTACTCTACATTTCACTTGTTCAGCAAATAGATTTGCGTTGTTAAAAAGCTCATATTGAGACTACACCTGTAGATGGACATCCTTTACTTTAGATTCAACCCTCTTTCGATAATGTTGGTTTAAATCGAACAGTTTGTTTCGCCAGACATAAATAGGGCTAAATTTAATTTTGATTGTTGGCAATGCTTATCAATAGAATCCCTGAGCAGGAAAAATTTAATTTGATATTAGTCTAAAATACTATTTGATTTCAAGATTATCCAGGTAGATATAAATTTCTTCACACTTCGGGTTTAAAAAATCGTCAATCGTTTTTTTCAATGAGAGCTTATAAAATTTTTCTATCTAATCGTAAACTCAGAACTCATAGAATTAATCAGTTGTCTTCAATAATGTATGAAGTTAGATAGCTATTTTTTATAGCACAGATTAGGTCTGCTTGGTATAAGAACGTTATTAAAAACTTTAGTATAATAATTTTTGAAGTAAAATGAGAGAAAATGATGACGTTCTCATTTTCTCAATGTTTAAGTTTTGTTAAATTTTGTGTTACAAAATTTTGAAAGTTGTCAAAACATATGTTTTTTTTGGTTATGTGATCTAAAATCAGAATTTTTAGTTTTTTGCATAACAAATAAATATTTATGTTTCAAGTTTATTTTTTTTCTTTTTGCGAGAAATAGCATCATTGTTCTCTTTATTTTATTAACAAATTCACACTAAAACAGAACAAAAAAACATTTTATTAACAACATAGACTAAAACAGAACATGTTTCAATTTCTTTCCGTAAGATGACGCAAGTTAATGTTATTAAAAATTTATATCGAAATATTTACAACCCTTGTCTCGTGATTGATCAATTTTAAACTGTCAATTGATAAAAATATTTTTTCCTTCTTGTGGCAGAAGTTTCGACAAATTTCGTGTTAAGAAAAAAAAAAGCAAAAAATCGATTAAATAATTATATTTAAAGGAAAATATTGTAGACTTCTGTCTGCTTAAAAAATAATGAACAGACATCAGGTTCTAAGTGGCGCCTGTAATGCTGGGGATAGATGCTATGCAGTTGGTTCAGTAGAAGGAATTCCGTTTACAGCCTATGCAGCTGGATGCAATATTGTAATATTAGCGAGCTCTTTTGAGAGAGTTCAAATAATACCTGGAGCTATTCATGGTTATGTAAAAATATCTGCGCTTGATTGCAGCACCGATACGGGAAAAATTGCAGCCGCATATGAAAATAAAATTTACATATTCGAGCCAACTCCCATTATACAAGATGGTTCAAAAACAAGTTCACATAATTTAGATTACAAATGGGTCCGAACTGGAAAATTTTCAACAAAGTCATTTGTCATTGTTTTGTCTTGGAGTTTAGAAGGTACTAGATTGTTAACTGGTGGCGAAGTATTAGACTTATGGAAAGAAAAAACTAGAAATAAACCAAAGGAAGTGCAGGTGAAATTTGAAATTGGTGGTACGGAAGATCCAAAAGATCAACAGAAAGATAGTGAAGATGATGAAGAAGACGATACTTCATGGGAATGTGTATGGAGTTGCAAAAGTGGGTCGCCCGTTCAGTATATGGCGTTTAGTTCTGATGGTAGCTTATTTGCTACTTGTGGTAAAAACGACAGGCTGGTTAAAATATGGTACGAAAATAAAAACGTTATATTCCCGACTCAAAGTATAGACACTTTAGAATATTCAATGAGAACAATGGATGAAAGTGAATTAAATTATCATTATGTATATATAGCGCATCCTCGAGCTGTAACACACCTGTCATGGCGTCGAACTAGTAAATATATGCCAAAAACATCAGTATGTAATATGTTAGTCACATCTTGTTTAGACAATATATGTAGAGTATGGGTGGAAACAGTATTACCAGATGATGGCCTTGTAAATATGATGCAATTTGATCCACAGGCCTCTAAAAATCCAAAATTTCGAACACATCGTCACAAACGTAGATTTATACAAAGATTGAAACACATGAAAGCCTGTTTTCATATAAGAAGAAATGCTAGAACCGGGACAATATTAGATAACTTAACATCCCATAATCAAGCACGAAACTCACCCATACCATCTTTGCCATCTTCATATAGTGTTCATGATTTTCATTCATACGGTTATCACAGCACTGGTATCATAACTGGAATGCATTTCCATTTAGCTGCGTCAATAAATGCTGAAACTGATATTCCTTTAGTACCATCTATGCAAACGCGAGACCCAGAAAATCAAATGAAATTTATCTTGCATTGGTTAAATAATAAGGAAATGTATTTTTCGTCGCAAGCAGACATTATTTTATATGATTTAACGCATAAATTGTTAGACAAAGAAGATTATGAACAGAAAAACGTTTACAATGCAGATAATTCAAGTGATCCGGATGACAAACAAACACAAGCAATTGAAAGCAATAGTAAATTAAGTAAAATACATTCTCAAGAGGAAAGCTGTAGCGACGAGCAACCATCAAATAAACATACAGGGTCTGGTGTACATAATTCAAATGTTAATTCGATGTCAGATACAGCTTCTTATAATTCTTCTGCTCATAATGCAATCCAAACAAATCCTATAGATACGTTAGATATTAAAATTGAGGCTTTATTAAGGGATTGGCATCGTAATCCTGATTTACTTTTCTCTATTCACCCCGTTGATGGCAGCTTTTTAATTTGGGTATTGGAGTGGTTAGATGATTACTACCCCGGATCTTTCCGACAAGCTCAAATTTCATTTTCTACAAGAATACCATCAGCTTTCCCTCTCGGTGATGCAATGTCCATATCTAATATTATTAATTTATACAATTTGGGCAATAATTCAGTTTTCTTGAAAAACATGTTATCCAAAGACAATACTGTAAAAGATTCATCAGGAGAACAATTACAAAATACCGACAAAACTTTACAAGAAGAAGATGAGAATGTAGAACAAACGCAAAATGTTGAAAAACTTTCAGTGGTTGATGATAAAACAGAAAAAGATCAAATCAACTTACTTAATCAATCACATATTTGCATGGTCACAAAACATGCAAATGGTACACTTAATTTATGGCAATTGAATTTCGCTGACAAAACAAAATACACACAACTGCTAAGTGTAAACCATGTTTCCCGTACTTCTGGTCATAGATTTCGTGTTAATGACATCACATGTCATCCAGTTCTACCACTATTATTAACTACCTCACATCATAATATTCCTGAAACTGAAAATGAAGAGGGTCAAAATAGCAAGGAACAATTATTATCTTCAGGATTTTGCTCGGAACTAATTCTTTGGAAAGTAGATCCAGTTGGTCCCTTATCATACTCAGGAGGCGTGAGTGAATTAGCAAGAATAAGTTCGCCGGAAATTTCTGCATTTAGTAATGTCGCATGGATTCCAACTTTATTACCTAGTACAACGTTAGGCAGCTATAGTAATTCTCCTTCGGCATGCTTTGTAGCGAGTGATGGTAAAAGGTTAAGAGTTTATCAAGCCGTAATCGATGCTCGAGCACTTTTGGCAGAAATTTCAAATTTAGAACGAAAGCTTAAACATATGGGTTCTGTATCATCAATATCAACTGCAAGTTCAGGTGCACAAATTAATTTAAAACATGAAGTGTCACTTCATGAAAATATAAAAATTGTTTCACAGCAATCAACTTCCCGTCCTGGTTGTATTATACAATTAGATCCAATTGACGATGCATTTCACGATTGGAAAAATACACAATTTTTACATGTTTTTCAGGATCAACTCATACTTGGTGAACGAGATAATGCAAATACAATTGGCGAAGGTGTAAAGGATAAGAGCTTTATGGAATCGCATATGGGAGCAGCAGTAGATTTACAAAAAAAATTTGAATTTAAAGAGCCATTTTATATTGTAATTTTAGAAAAAACGAAAACTGGAAGTGTGATTCACATGTGGAAGATTACCATAGCATCAAAAAGACAGATTTCACTTCCTGATACGAATTTATATACAACAGAAGCTGAGGTTGCTGCTAATTTAGAAAACACTCAAGATGTTCTACCTGAAACAATTCTTGTCGAAGAACATGAATCGCCCCATATTTCAATTGTAACAAAAAAAGTTTGTACACAAGAATTACCGCTACCTAAGGGAGTTGATGTTATTAACGCTTCACCTGCTGCAGGTCATTTAAGCTCAGCTTCTATATATCCAGCGTGTTTTGCTCCATATCTTTTTATGACGGCCTCAACTGATTCAGTTTTGAGATTTTGGAAATGTCGATCTAGATTATTGTACGACAAACCAGTTGACGAATCTGATGAAGATGATTCTAATGTAATATACGAGTGGGGTGAATGGGATATGTTCAAAAAGGACAAACATTCATCAATAGAAGTTAGTGGACAACTTTTACATATAAGTGCTGCGTATTCTGGTAGAATTGCATGTGCCTATAAGTATGGAAAATCCTTCACCAGACCAAATAAAGCTGATCCTGAATCAAGATTCATTAATTTATGTGTTGTTATTTATGAATGTGAAAGCACAGGAGGATCGGAATGGATCCTTGAAGATACAATACATTTACGTAACGTTAGCATTCCTAAAGTGGAAATCGACCATAATTTAGATTTGAGTTACTTGAACAATACCAAAGTAATTGAAAAGCGCCAAAGAATCAACCATGCAATTCACACATTTACAAATGAAGACAATAGAACCACTTGGAATAATGAACTTTCACCAGACGCAATTTCAAAACCGGGAATTTTCGCGGTACCAAGTTACAGCACACTACAAAGTTTGAAAAAAAGTATTATTGAAAAAGGAAACACTTGTCCACTTGTACAAAAGCATTTGGTTCAGTTGGACTGGGTTTCAAAAGAAGATGGCTCTCACATATTAACAGTGGCTTTTGGTAGCAAAATTTTGTTATACACTCCAGTTTCAAGTGATCTGGCGCAAGCAAATATCAAAGCAATGAAAGAAAGCAGAAGTAAAAGTAGACCACTTCTTAGAAAAACAAGTTCTCTAGCTCAACCACATTTTAATGATGAAATACGTTGGATGAAGTTACGACAAATTGATTTAGAAACAGCAGATGGACTCCCACCTTTGCCAATGCATATATCATGGGTAAGAGATGGCATATTAGTTGTAGGTATGGACTCAGAAATGCATGTGTATTCGCAATGGAAACCGAGACATGAAAAGGTAGCACACATAGATGAAAGCTATGATTCGAGAAATCTAAGAGATGAAGATTTGAGGCAGCTGGCAAATGAAACAAGTCAGTTGAGATTGTCAAATGTTGCTTCAGTTTCCAAAATAAGTTCAGCAAATTTACAACTTCTATCATTTGATAAGAAACGTAAAATGACACAACAAAATTTGAATCAAAATACTGGGAACGCTACTACTGAAAGCGTGGATCATGATTACTTGACGGATTCCGGTTTATTCCTAGCTTCTAGAATTGCGTGTCCAGTTTTACCTCAATATCATCCTAAGCAATTAATGGAGCTTTTAAATTCTGGCAAAATAAGATGGGTAAAAGCAATATTAGGACATCTCGTGCGTTGTATGAGTGGAAACTATAATCAAGGCAGTAGTGTTGGTAGCAATGATGAAGATACCATAGCAAACCCAAATGCATGGACAAGATCTAGAACTTTATCCATAAGTTATATGGGACAAAATAGTCCAAATGAACAAGCTGATATGACGGTTATAAATGAAGATCTGATGCTGGATTATGCAGAAATAGCTTCAATTCCTCCATTACCTTTATGGGTTTTACTTACTGCTGATAAAGAGCGTCCAACAAATGCGAATAAAGAAAATGATCCAAAAAATTTATATGAAAACTTATTTGATTTAGAATCGAAAGTCGAAGATTCTTTGGACGATGTCTTAGCTTCTGATACCGATATGCAATCACGAAACGAAAGAAGACAATCAATGCCGGAAAAAACGGAAGTATCATCGTTTGGGCCAAGGCAGGGCCGTTTGCTTTCTAGATTATTAACCCACATGCATTTGCCAGGTTTGTCATCTTTGGATCAGATGCATTTACTAGCTCTAGCTGATACAGTGTCGACATGTAATACAGATTTTAGCGAAAAATTTGCGGAGGCAACCTTGGAATCATCAACGACAAAAGATGATGGGAATCAAAAAGCTTTATCAATAGATTCACTTGATGATTGTGGATTAAGATTTTTATTAGCAATGAAACATTATGACTATCTATTAAGATGTTTACCGATGAATCAAAGGGGAAAGTTCCAAGTGCAAGGTGTGGGAACATCAAATATTGTGTGGGCTTTTCATTCTGAAAGTGAAGAGGAATTATTAAGTTTAATACCATCATACAATAAAGGACAAATTAAGTGGGCAACTTTGAGAGAGCTTGGTGTTGGCTGGTGGTTAAGAAATGTTACCGTCTTAAGAAAATGCATTGAGCAGCTTGCAAAATCAGCTTATCAAAGTAAACAAGATCCTTTAGATGCTGCATTGTATTATTTGGCAATGAAAAAGAAATCAATTGTGTGGGGCCTATTCAGATCTCAAAAAAATGAAAAGATGACTGAGTTCTTTGCAAATAACTTTAGTGAAGATCGTTGGAGAAGAGCAGCTTTAAAAAATGCTTTTGTACTTCTGGGAAAACAGAGATTTGAACATGCTATTGGATTTTTCCTGTTAGCAAATTCTTTAAATGATGCTATAGAAGTATGTTTAAATAAACTAAAAGATTTTCAACTTGCTTTAGTAATTTGCAGGCTGTTTGAACCTGACATTGAATTCAGTCAATCTAGTTATAAAAAGCTACTTGATCAAGAAATACTAGGCTTAACCCCAGAGGATGATCAAATAGACACAGCAAATTTACATCCTGATCCATTTTTACGTTCTATAACATTTTGGATTATGAAGAATTTCACTGAAAGTTTAAATACTTTACTTTTAAATAATGTTGGACAAAATCATCATGCTTATTCAGATGAAGATATGTTTAATAAAACAGACAACGCAAATGCAGCTAATCCAAATGTTTTTAATTTTTACATTTATTTGAGAACCCATCCACTATTAATAAGGCACCAATTAGCTACATCCGCACAGGAAACGAAACATTCTAAAGTTATGCTGTCAGGCTTCAGTTACGCTGGTCAAATGGGCGGAGCTAGTAATAATCAGTTGCATGTTGAAGACTCAATAACACATTTAGAAAGACAATTGTATTTTACAACAGCGCATGGTCACTTTAAATCAGGATGTCCTGTATTAGCTCTTGAAGTTTTAAATAAATTGCCGGCTAAAGTATTAGATAGCAGTGCAAGTACTCGGATAAATTCAATCGATATAGCCGAATCTTTCGATGGTAACTTTACTACTAGCACAATTACACAGCCTGCAGCGGATCAAGGTGCATCTATGGATTTTGATTGGGGTGCTCCTGTAACTAAATATGACGATTCAGAATTTAAAATAACTTGGGATGATGATGAAAATGAAGAAAAGGAAGACGATGATTTAAATAAAGATGAAGAAAAGAAAACTAATATTGTACAAAATATTGATAAAAAGGTTATTGAATCAAATCAACCAATAAAGCAAATTGATATTATGGCTCAGCAGTTAAAATTTGTTGCATGCTTAAAAATATTGATGGAGGAATTGTCAACCCTAGCTACGGGTTTTGAAGTAGATGGAGGACATTTACGTTTTCAATTGTATGTATGGCTAGAACGTGAAGTTGAGGCTCTGAAACAATTATGTAGTTATAGAATTTTAGAAGAAGATATTTTGGAAGAACCCTCTGAAACAATACAAGACGATAATTCAATTCCTAGAATGTCAGAAAAACCTGCCCTTCACGAAATTTTATTGCAAGAAAAGCAAAATTTCGAAGCTAGAGTTCAAAGAGCAACGCGACGCAAAAAATGGTTGAAAGCGAATGAAACTCTTTTAAGAACCTTGTTGAGTTACTGTTCTTTGCATGGTGCTTGTGGCGGTGGTTTAGCTTCAGTTCGAATGGAATTAATTTTATTACTCCAGGAATTGCAACAAGAAAAGACTCAACAACAACTTTTAAGCCCTTTACCATTCCCAACGACATTACCACTCTTAAGTGCTTGTATTGCAGGTAATAAAACCGTAGTGTCCGATCCTATAAAATATTTACAGGTTAACACTCAAGATATGCTGCAAGCAGTCACAACTTTAAATATTAATCGTAAAACAGAAAAAGAAAATATTCAAATTTTTATATTAAGAGATCTTGCGGTAGCGCTAAGTTCCTGCATTTACCAATCTTTGTGTGATTCTGAGAATTTTATTATTAACCAATGTAGTATTGGGAATACTCCACAAATTCCTGGCATGGAAAATATTGCAAAACTAAATTATTCTTATAACTGTTCTCATTTAATAATGAACAAAAGAAAAAATAAATCTTTGGAAGAAAAGTTACCAATTACAACTTTACCAACAAACTGGCCTGGTGTCACTAATTTAAGAGCACTCTTAACCCGTGAAAAAGATGAAGATGCTCCAAGACTCAATATTTTACTACTTGAAGCATTTTTAGCTACTTATACATCACTTTTAGTTTATGGTTTAGAAACATGTGATTCACATATTTTGTTTCGTTTAGCAGGTCAAATTTTTTCAAAAGAAACATGGGGAAGATTATTTGGTGGGGGTGCTAAAATCCCTTTAAAAAAGGCAACGACTGAAAGTTTTACAGCATCTATGGCTAAAGTAGATTCAACAGAAAGTAATGTAGATGTAGATACTGGAGTTTGGAATACTGTTACTTCATTTACAAAGCAGCGAGTTAAATTGAATATGAAACTATTGGGTCAGTTTAGCAGCCCTAACGCCGGTTCTATGTCAAAAGAGGAAAGCAAAGAAGATTATCGTGAACAATTTGTCGCCCCAGAACTTTCTATGGTATCCTATTTTTTGACTAAACCCGTAGTAGAAGGCGCTGATGATGATGATTACGATACAGATAACTCAGTAATTGACAGCGAAGAAGAAGATGATGATGGTGACGTTTTTATGGATAAAAAATCTAAAAATAAAGACAATGTAGAACACTTAAATCCACATTCATACTCATGGACAATAATACGATGTGCCCTTGTTAAATTAGTTCAACAAAAAATTCAACAATTTATACAAATAGCTGGTATTGAAAGTCATGAGTTACCTGTGACAAGCCCATTTGCGCATGATGTTCTTAAAACCCTAAAACAATGGGAAGATGATATGGCTAACGAACTAGCATTAAATGGTCCTCCAAGTAGCGATTTTATACCAGGATGTTTTGTTGATTCGGAAGCGAAAGGGCCAACAATACATAAATATAGAAATCTTTTAGAAAAACATAATACGCCATTTATTTCATCATCTTCGGCAGCTCCAGCGAAAAGGTTATGGAATTATTTAGTACGACAAGAACATGTTCAAGATATTTTTATTAGATCAGTATTTGGTAAAAAACGTCACAAAACGTCTATAACAGTTCCAAGTATTATATCTCAGCAATCTTTTGATCAAAATGATTCAATTCGTGGTGATGATGTTGATGATAGTAATATGGTTCAACCAATAAAAATTATTCACAAAGAGCAAGAATCGATTTCAGCATTTTGTGTTAATAACACTTCATGTGGCCTACTAGCAATAGCAACCCCTAAGGAAATTCAAGAACTGGATATATCATTATTACTCAATACACCTTCCTATTACGAAGATGAGTGCGAATATGATCTATTAAATTTATCGAAGGACGTAGACGCTGTATCATCCACAAGTTTTTTAATTATTCAAACGAATGCGGAACGACAGATACTGAACAACATTCAAAATGGTACACAGCCACAGTCTTCAATTGCTCAACTGTCAACTGCCAGTCAATCTGGACGTGGTACATCTATGGTGCTAAAACATAAAATTGATAACGTTAAACGAATGTCTGCTCATCCTCATTTGCCTTTTTATTTAACTGGTGGTCAAGATGGTTCGGTTCAACTTTGGGAATGGGGTAGACAACAGGTAGTTTGTACACCAAGACCGCCTGGAACATTTGCTAAAGTTACAAGGTGCAGATTTTCACAACATGGTAATAAATTTGGTATTGCTGATGGTGATGGCAATATGAGTTTATGGCAAGCTGGTATCGCATCGTATACGAACCGATCATTCTTCAACTATCAGTGCCATAATAAATCAATAACCGATTTTGATTTTTTGGGTTCCTGTAGCTTATTAGCAACAGCTGGTCATAGTTCAGAAAACAAAAATATTGCCATATGGGATACTTTACTTCCGCAAAAGAAGGCTTTGGTGCAGGCATTTGTTTGTCATGATCAAGGTGCATCCAGTTTAATATATGCTCCCCAGCACCAACTTTTATTATCATCAGGTAAGAAAGGTGATATCTGTATATTCGACGTTAGACAAAGAGTATTAAAACATAAATTCCAAGCGCATGATTCGCCAATAAAGTGTATGGCAGTAGATCCTCATGAAGAAATTTTTGTTACGGGTTCTGCAGAAGGCGGTATTAAAGTATGGAATTTGGCTCATAATAATCTTATGTACGAATTTCCTGCTGAACATGCTAAGGGTAGCTTCTTTAAACATTTAGGTCAAGGAGTAAGCCAAATTTTATTAGATTCCGATGGCAGATTATTTTCGTGCGGTTGCGATGGTTCAATGAAAGTGAGGCAGTTACCCAGCCGTTGCAGTGTTGTAAATGCTTATGCGTATTAGTTTTAAATAAAATAAAAAAAACGAAAATGATTTTATGTTGTTTTCAATGTTATCTACATAAATTTAATTATTATAAAATTAGACAATTTGTCATGTTATTACCATTATTATATTATATATTTCTGTGTTATTTGTTGCTTCTTTAAATTAAATTAATATTATAATAATAAAAGCATTTTATTGTATCGTATATAAAAAACTATATAATAAACTTAATACAACAGTTCTTTAAAAAAAAAAAAAAATTTAAATTTTATTTTTTAGTTAATTTAAGAAGTGTTAAAAAAGGAATGAGTTTTCTCTTGGGCTTCTCAGAAATAAACAGAATATAGCAAAAGAAACGAACTGTACTAAACTGAAAATACATGCAATATGAATAATTTTGAGTTTGTTAGAGACATCTGTCATACATGAAAACATAAAACGTATATTTTAACTGTCTTAGACGAAAACATACTTTAATTCTTAATATTTTAATACAACAAGCCTGTTATTATTATCTTAACTGCAATTTAAACTTCAGGTCAATGATATTGTGGATTTGGAAATATTCCACGAAGGATGATCTGTAACGATTTCTCGGACAATATTAGAAGCATCAATATTTGGAGGCTTAATGACGCATTGCTTAGTATATAAAGGAAATTCAACTTCAATTTTTTTTCCAGGTGATAAAAAATCTTTTAGCTTAGGGACTGGGTCACATTTTTTTTCAGAATTCACATATTTCTCTCTAATTAATTTTCTATTTTTCATAATATTGGTATAATCCGGAGTTAAGTCATCGTTATCCTCAATAGGAATAAGATCTGTGTAAACGGGCTGGTCATAAGGAAAATTTAATAGTTTTGCTGTCTAAAAGAAATTAATTCAGTTTATGTACACATATATAATGAAACGATGAAGGATAAAAATTTACCTACCTTCTGTGTCATAACGATTTTGGAATTTGGACTCAAATTTATTTTACTATTTGCGTCCAAATTTATTTGGCCCATTCTATCCACTAAATTATATACTGTGTTTAACTGAGGAGTATGTAACGACTTAGATACTTTCGAAGTTTTCTTTAAATTTTTTGTTGGTTTTAAATCATCAGTCGAGGAGCATGGTTTTGTATTTTTGACGGGCTCTTTTCCAGAAAGTTTTGTTACGCTCCTTCTTTGTTCTGAAACTCGCAGAGGAACTTCTATGTCATGTAAAACTGTTTTGGAGTTCTTATGAATTATTTTTCCGCCACTTGTTTTGGCAAGTTTGCCTCTCTGCATCTTGTTTATTTTTGTTCTTATTTTATTCAATTTTAAATATAAATTAGGCTAATATGTACGTATTTTAGATATCTAAATTTACGATATAATTGGTGAAAATACAGCAAAAGGAAAAATTATGTAAAAATAAATCGCCAACTTAACTTCTAAATAGCTAGCAATCTTTGTGTTTGTTTGCAATGCAATGCAATGCAATGCAATTTTGTTTGTTTATTAAGTTTGCGAGTACTTTGTCATTAAACTGTTATGTCATTTGCTTCTAGTTTGAACGAATGACAAAACAGCGATCGAAGTCGAGGTAATTAGTGACATCTTAAGGAAATAATGAGCATTCTATTAATTATTAAAATATTTTATGCATATTCTACATTTTTGAAAAAGAATAGGTTTTTTTCACTGGAAATTAGTAAAAAATAATAAACCTCGTTTTGCGTTCAATAAATTAAATATTATTATTTAATTTTTTGGCAAGTTGTATTTAATTTAAATATATTACTTTGACATTGTCAAAAAAAAATAATAGAATGAAAAATCAGCTAATTGCCAAATATTCAAACTTAAATGGCTTATTTTTAGTTTTGTCTGGTGAAGGTACATTTTTGAAACGCAAATGCAACTATGAGTTTTTGAAATAAATGAATAAAAGAATTTTTGCCATAATAACATCATAATAATTTTTACTCTTATTTTTTTATAAGATAACGAAAGTACTCTTCAAAAGTCAAAATGGAGAAGCTTTTTGTATGAAAAACACTGCATTTGTTTTTCTTTAAAATTTTAGTTTTTAGTTTGTTTTGATAAGTGTGGAAAATCAGATGATTGTAAAAATTTATTAATTCATATTGTGAGAACAGAGAATAACTAAAATAAATTATTCAAAAAAAAGGGATGAAATATTGAAAACCAATAGTGCAATAAAAATTATTTCTTATTGGATATTTTTTTTCGAAAAGGCTTTCATTTCTAAATTCATAGTATGTTAAACTACTGAAAAGAGCAGAAATTTTAATGGAAAAGACTACATTTTAAACTTTTTTTGTGAAGCCAAAAATATTTTCTTTTCGAAATTAATCCTTTGAATTGTACTTTAAAATAAGAAAATTTATTTACACTGGCTTTTAAAGGTTATTGTTATAATAAAAATTTGTGTGATTGCCATAGAGCTCACCTATTTCTAGATGGGAATGCAATTAAAAGAACTCGTACCCATGGAATGAGAGATCTACAAAAATTTATCCGCCATACATCTTCAGATCATTTTTGTCAGAAATTTATTGAATTTATTGAAAATATTGTTATAATTTAAAACTCAAAAAATTATTAAAGAAGAAAAGAGTGAAAACTTTTTAGTCAATAATTAAGATTATAACTACTAGATATCTAACAGGGTGTTTATTCAATAGATACCTACTATAGAAACAGTGATATAAAAATAAAACATTAAAAAAAGTTTGGCAAACAAATAATATATGTACATTTTTTTAACCTATACACTCACCTAATTTCATTTTTATTTTTGTGCTACATGTTTTTATGTCCAAAGGTGAAGATTTTTTTAAAATAGACTTTTCAATTCTTACAAATTAGAACTTTTTTAATTTAAATAAATATAATTAATAAATATAATTAGTTATAAAGATAGGTACATGTGCTTACAATTTAATTTATAAATATTTCTTAAATTTCCTATTGTACATATTTAAAATATATTGATTTTGTTAAAATTGTAGTGGGAACATTCATATAGATTAATATTTAGTTACGCCTAGAATGTTTGTATTTATTTAAAGAAAACAATCTGAATCAAAAATAAATATTTGAACTTGGTACCAAAATTGATATTTGGACTTTGTACCCACATGCATATACTGCTTTCATTTAACAAAAAAAAAAAAAAAAATGATAAATGAAAATTCCCAGCTACCAATTATCTTGTTATTTCTTGAATTGAATTAATAGAGGAGTTTTAAAATAAGGAATTTTAAATTTTTAACATTTAAACAAAAAAAAATTGTCTTAAAAAAATCTTAAATAATTTATAAGACTGGTATAGTCAGAAGGAAAAAAAATTGAAATATTTTAAGCTTGTCCATGGGCGCCTACTTAGCATAATTAATAAACACTAGTAAAATTTACTTTTATCAAATAAAAAAATTCTATTTACTTATTCAATTTTAAAATTTTATGTTTAATTTTTGTATTACATAATTTCAAAATAAAATTTTATGGTGAAAAAGTGGCGATTCTTAAAGAATTATTTAAATTATTTTATTTCTGTTTAAATTACTTTTTCTAATATTTTGAAATAATTTATAAAATAAAAAAGATTACACCTATTGAAAAGAAGAAAATGGCACCAATTGCTGTATTTGATAACAAAACAAATGATAAAAATACAATAACCGGTAGTGGTATCCAGAAAGATAATAATACTCATGATGGGATTGTTGGAAGTCCAAATATGCCATCATCGGCTAATGATAATAATATAGAGAAAAGCAATCAAAATAACAATAATAATAACATGAATAAAAGTGACAATCATAATAATATTAATAATAATAGTAGTATTAATACCAACGAAATTGATAACTGTGCTGATGATGAAATGAAAAATGTGGATACAAATAGTGGATGTGCTCCTGCCCAAAATGGTAATTAATATCAAAATTCAGTTTTTTTTTTTTTGTTATTCTAGCTTTTAAAATTTTTAGTTTGATTATTTTAATTTGATTTTTTTTAATAACAAAATAAATTCAAAAATTGTTCAACTACTTACCTACTTACTACAGTTGAATAATTGCACGACATAAATACTTAATTAGTTCTACCTAAATTGTAGTCCTATGTTAGACTATTAGTTACTTAATTGTAATTACTTACTTCTTATCTGAAAACTTGATCATATGTAATATTAGTGTGACATCAAATAAGAATTAGTTACGTTAATTTGATTAGATTATTCTAAATTTAATCATGAATCAAAAAAGTTGATTGACAGTAGCTTAAGAAAACATGTACTTATACGTATTAGGAACAAACCCCTTATCCAATACATACGGGTATAATTTATAGATAAGTACAATAGATATGTATTGAGTATTTTAAATGTTCAAAATTTAAGAAATCGTATGTTGAAATTATAAAGTATGAACTAGTTTAAATTTTTAATTAGAGTCTTCTAGTAATTTTTTTAGAATATACTGTTCAAGTTGCATCCAGTGTCCGTCAAAATCAATCAAAATGTTACTGTAAGGCTAAAATATTATTTACTAAGCATAGTGATTAAAAAGACAAAAATAAATAGAATATTGTGACGAGAATAACCATTTTCGCACCAGAAATAACAATTTAAAATTTCGGGGAAAAAAACCCCATTTATTTGTGGTTTAAAAATACAAAAATTGAAATTGTCGATTAACTATTAATTGCATAGAATGACAATAAGCTTAAGCATATCTACAAGTTTATGTAGAAATATCTACTTACATATAAACTATTATTACACAAAGCTGTACAAGCATTTATACGATATCAACTTATAGAAAGTATTCAATATCTATTTATAGAAATGTAAATCAATAAGTTCATTGACTTTCATCACGGTCTAGATTCTAGAATAACAAAAAAAACGGCAAATAAAGCAAAAGTAAAACCATTTGTGGTTTTGCATTTCATTTTTTTCGCTTTTAATTTTGCAATTATAGAACTATTTTTTATTTATTATTATTAAGATTATTTAGAATATGTGAGTTAAATGTGGAACACTTAAAAGTTAACATATTGGGAACTGTAGTAAATTATTTAACTTAATTTTATTTTTTAGCTTTCTTGCTTAATCGTCGCCTTCGCCTGAATAAAAAACAACAGTGTATTTAATTGGGCGCGTTTATAAAGTAAATTATATTTATTTATTTAAGTACTTGCAATGAATTTTAACTGTAAGTACTTCCTAATTTCTTTTTAGTTGTACATATTAAATCATAAAACATAAAGGGGAGAGTGGAGATGATGGGAAATACAATGCGGGTTTTTACTTTTTGCAATTATTGTTTGTGTTCTATAAAAAAGAAATAAATTTTAACATTAAATCGTTCAAGAAATTTAATTTTTTTCTTACAAATTAAATAATTTTTTGTGAAGTTGATCATCGATATAATTTGAAAAAACCCATTTATTTTGTTTATATTCAAGGGAAATCAAACTTGTAGCCACAGAGCGGAGCTAATTTTTCTTTTAGAGTAAATTCTTTTACTAGATTTTATTTCTTATTTAATTTTTTTAATTTTTACCCGTTAACAGCTTAGCCAAGTATAGTTAAGCATTGAAATATTTGAAAATGAAATGGTGAATTTTCATTCATACAGAATGAAAACACAATCCAATTGTTTAAAATGCCAAACTGTTTCCATACATTATTTTCCAAGTAGGTACTGAATTTACAAAAGAAGACACTAAAAATAAAAAACAACGCACATGAAAATTAATAAAAAAACATTAGAACTTACCCGTAATAAATATTAATTTTATTAATATGATAATTATATTATTTGTTATATAAGTAGGTTTATATATATAACTGTAAGTATTTTATTCAAATTTCGAATGCCCTTGAGAAATGCGACAATTGCAAAAGCTTAAGTTTCTTAGTTGTTTTTTGGTTTTCTTGTTTACAAACTTGAATTGTTGTGAACTTTAATTTGTGAATATTTAACAGTTATCTGTCACAAAAACTGGTTTATTAAAAGAAATTGTTGGCATGTTACTTTTATTCCATAAAAAAATAATAAATTATTTTCCAACCGGAATTTGGTAAGCTTTTGAAGATTTTATATTGGTCTTAAAATTTTTTTTCTCGCTCATTTAATCGTTAAGTAAGAAATACCTAGCTGCTATTATGTACTAAAAAATTTTCAAGCACATTTACTTAAGTTTTTTTTTTAAATATTTTTGTATTTGGGGAATCGCTCTTTAAGGACTAAAATCCCATACTCAAAATTTATCTAATATTTTTGAAATTTAACGTAAAAATCGCTTTAGTAACTGAGATTAAGCTTTAATTTTCTAGACACTTAAACTCGCTGATTTGCTTAGTTAAATATTTGTTTTATTTGAGTATTTTCTAAAAATTACCTAAATAGATGTTTATATATGTACATACATATATGTATATATATATATACATATATACGTTATGTATAACGTTATATAGTTGATTATTTAATCAACCTTTTAAACAATCTTGTTTTGTCTTTCTCATTTTTAAGTAAATTTTAATGTTATATTTATATTTTAATAGCAAATAAATATTATAAATTTATAGATAATTATTTCTACAATAATATTTTAGCACCGTGTAGATTTTTTTGTGCAAAAAGAAATTTTTAAGTAAAGCTATATATACTTATATAATATATATATATATATATATATATATATATATTTTTTTTTTACATTATATCAACAATAATTTGTCTAATGATGGTGATAAGGTTAAAAAGAATTGACGTAAGATGATGTTTTATTTAATACTAACTCAATTATCTTTTCACAAATATTGTACATAATTTTGTCTTATTAGATTAACCCCCATATCACCGTATTATTTTATTTAGGTTTTAAAGATTCCCGGTTAGAAATTGTTGAAAATGAATAAAGAAATTGTAGGGTACTTACGGCAAACAGTTTGTGCGAGTTAGTTAAAAAATGAGTAAGGAATAACTCTCGAAATAATTCCGATTTTCGAAAAAAATTTTGAAAGTAAGAGAATTGAGAAAATAAATTTTTAACTGTGTGTAGGAGAATTGAGAGTGAAAACTTTAAATGCGGTTTGCCATCAACGAACTCTATGAGTAGGGAGAAAAACAATTATTATAATTTGATTTATCCACTGTTATTTAAAAGTAAAAACGAAATACCTTAGAGGAAATTAAAATTTCCTACACTGTACTTTAGGGTTAAATTGCTAACAGGTTTGCTAGTTATCTTTTAGTAAATGCAAGCCAATTTTGTGATGAAATTAAAAACTTTTGTGGCAGTATAAAATCAATGTGCAAGTATAGGAAGGAATATTACCCGTTCTATATTTTCATAATATTTTGACCAAAGTAATCTTAAACTATTTAGTTACATTTTTACTAATATAATCACTCTTATACTTTTAATTAGTAAAATTATCTCTATTATGCAAGTAATTTTTTTTAATCATTTTCAATTATTTTGGATTTTTTTTATTTAAATGTATTTTTGAAATGATTAAATGCATAAGTACAATGAATATTTTCTTAATACAAGTACTTGCTTCCAATAAAATAATTGATTTTATTTATTTTTTTACCCTAGTATATTACACATTTAATCGTTTATTTATTTATTTATTTTTAAATGCTTTTATTAAAGAAAAACTTTTATTGAACGATTTAATTTCTATAATTAAATAATTAAAAATAAATAAACAAATAAAATTGTTAAAATTATTTCAATTGGTTTTAAAAACAACACTCATCTACATATAAATTATTTATTTTCTTAACTATTTTATTTATAAAAAAAATTTCGATATATTTTTACAAAAAAATTAATATGTAAGTGTGTAAATGAATATTTTTTGTTTTCCTATTTGAAATTGATTCAAAAATATTGCAGGTTATGTCACAAGTATATATAGAGTGTAATCAGGAACAAATAGTTACAAGTATTTATAAGTACTTAACTGTAAAGCAAATTTCATAAAAGTGTTTACACAAAAAATATCCATGAAATCTAAATTCATAATGAAAATTTAATTCCAGATAAATTATAAATGAAATACTAAGAAAAATTAGCGTTAATAATTAAATACAATTAAATATTAATCTAATGACGCTTTAATCTGAAAAACTTAAATAATGTGTAATCTTACTAATAAAATTTTATTTAAATGATAATATTCTTCTTATGCAAGAGAAATATTACTTAATTAACAATGACATTAGAATTCCATTACATACATATATATATAAAAAAGTACAAAGACAAAACACATGCAATATTACAAAGGTGAAATACAATTATTTGTCCACCTTAACTATAATATTAGATAATTAAATTAAATGTTAAATATGAACATGTTATTAGAGCATGAAATAGGTGACATCTAGTCAATTTGCCAATGACAGAAATTTTTATATAATTAACGTTACTAATGTAATATACTTAATATAAAAATACTAATAACTAACAATATTATTAACGTTATTAATGTGTACAAATTTAAAAAAAAAAATTAATATTTATAAAAATTTAGCGAAGTTCCCTAGCAATATCTTAATTGATAACAGTCAAATACTTGCATTTACATGTTGTTTCTGTCAATTAAAATCATTTACGTATTACAAAATCCGAAATTGAATGTTTTTGATTTTCCAATAATATTCATTTTTATACTTAGTATTCTATTTACTTCCTTCACAAAAAAAAGAGTATATAGATAACCCTCTGCACATCAAATGGGATAAAATGACATATCACTATTTGATAATAATGACTCGAAAAAATGACAGTAATTAAGTAAATTACTCTCAATTACTCTCATGTACTTTAAGATTTAATTAGTTAGAACGTTTAATTAGTTTAAACTTAAAAATTATGTAATCACTTTTGTTGAAAACAGTAA